TGTTCTATTACATTCCTTCTACGTTCTCATTGCACATTACCTGCAGATTAACCAGATTTTCAATCATTGGGAACTGCTCCTGATGCCAAAAGGACTTTATTCGTGGATGCACATTTACAATCGGAGTGCTGCTTTCAACCAGCTGTCTTTTAATATCATTAAATATATTTGAAAATTCTTCTTGTTGTCAGGTATCTTCAGAAAAGAAAGCAATCACGTATATACACATCTTTGCCTCCCATGCCTAATTTGCAAGTTTCCAATTATGGGATGTAACTAATTTAACACAGATTAGTCTTGAAGATTGTAATTAACTTATTCTTCATCTTCTCCTCCTGTCAATGCATGAATGGAGAAGAATGAAGAGGGGAATCTACGCCCCTTTACTATGAGTTAGCACCTTCCTCTTACAATTTTATGCGGCATGGGACAAGTCTGCTTGCATGGAAGAGGCTCACTTCTTCTGACTTCCTTTTGAATGTATTTACACCTAACACCTAAAAGGCAGGAAACTGCAAGACAGAGTCAGCTTTCTTAGCTTGATTAATACAATACAGGCAATCCTTGACTTACATCCCTTTGTTTAGTGACCATTCAAAGTTATAACGGCACTAAAAAAAGTGACTTACAACCAGTGGTGGGATTCAAATATGTGAACAATCGGTTCTCTGTGTGGATGCTGCTTTTGGAAGTCCATTCTGGGCCTGGGCAACAAAAAATTAGCTACCGGTTCTGCTGAAGGGGTGCGAACCGGCTGAATCCCACCACTGCTTACAACCAGTTTTCACACTTATGACCAGTGGTTGGATTCAGCCAGTTCACACCACTTCGGCAGAACCGGTGGCTAATTTTTTGTTGCCCAGGCCCAGAATGGACTTCCGGAAGCGGCATCCACACAGAGAACCGGTTGTTCACATATTTGAATCCCACCACTGCTTACGACCATTGCGGCATCCCCATGGTCACATGATCAAAATTTGGGCAACTGGCATGTATATATGACAGTTGCATTGTCCCGGGGTCATGTAATCATCATTTGTAACCTTCCCAGCTGGCTTCCGACAAGCCAAGTCAATGGGGGAAGCCAGATTCATTTAACAGCTGCAGTGGTTCTCCTAACAACTGTAGCCAAAAAAAAGGTTATAAAATGGAACAAAGCTCCCTTAGCAACTGCCTTGCTTAGCAGTGGAAATGTTGGGATCAGCTGTGGTCGTAAGTCAAAGACAACCTGTATACTGACTAAACCGTGATAGGCTATTTGACAAATTCATTAGGGCAAATTCATTCAGTTGGATTAATAAGAGAAAACATTAACCATTTCATGCAGAGGCAGTCAGTGATCCTCTGCATAATGTCACTTGCAAGGGGGATAAGAAGTAACCATATGCTGGGACTATTATTAGCGCATGATATAAAATGGCAGGGCAGTTATTGATTTATTTATTGATTTACGATTAGATTTTATCCTACCTTTGTTACATTATAAGGAACTTAAGGCAGCAAGCATACCTAATACTCCTTGCTCCTCCTATTTTCTCCACAACAACAACTCTGTGAAGCTTTTGTGCCTAAGGCAGGACTGGATCTCATAGCGCCCCAGTTCCTAGGCCAGGAGACTACTACACCAAATTCCTCACCAGCCTATGAGAAACATTCATTATTATTTTAAGTCCATAAAGATCTCTGTTTTAAAGCATGATTAATCTTTCTTCTATTGATATTTCTGCAAAACAATTTATAAGAATTAGGTTTTGCATCATTTAATCCAAGTTGGGTATGTTCCCTACACTAGTAGTAGGGTTATGAATACTTCCTGATACATACAATGCAGTACCTGGCTTAACCTACTGTAAATAAAATACTCCAATAACTAAGTTAGACATATGTCCCCACACATACTTGTATGGACATATTTATGGCAACTGTTTACTGGGACACAATAATATCTCTGTCATATTCAAACCTTAAACCTATTTAAGTCAATTTTATTTCATTCTTTAAAGTAAGAGGCGGTCTGCAGTGGTTGTCCATATGTTTGTTAATGCCTTTATTTTATATCAGGGGTCCCCAACCCCCAGTCCATAGACCGGTACTGGTCCACGGCATGCCAGAAACCGGTCCGCGCAAACCAGAGAAGCCCCATCTGCGGGATGCAAGCAGCATGCAAACCCTATACCCCCTTCCAGTCTGTGAAAAACCTCTCTCCGTGGAACCAGTCCCTGGTGCCCAAAAGGTTGGGGACCTCTGTTTTATATCATTGGAATAAAGCTCAGGAAGATCTTCAGCCAACACAAAATAAGTACACATTAAAACCCAAGAATACACTAAGGCAGAAGCTTGTCCACCCCAAGAATAAAACACCCAGACACAAATTGAGCAACTTGGTATATGCAGTACAGTTCAGTAAGACATGTGCAGATCTGTACATTGGGGAAATAAAATAATTACTTCATAAACGCATGGCACAACATAGGAGAACAAACCCATCAGGATAAGATTCAGCAGTCCATCTGCATTTAAAAGAGAAAGACCACTCTTTCGAAGATAGCAAAGTCCACATTTTGGACAAAGAGGACTGCTGGTTTGAAAGAGGGGTCAAAGAGGCCATCTATGTCAAAACTGAACAGCCCTCTCTCAACAGAGGGGGAGGGATATGACATCATCTATCTCCAGTCTACAACACAGTCCTTTCAACAGTTCCAAGAAGGCTCCACAGCCATTTGCACTACTCAGGTGACCCTGATGACACAGATAAACCTCCAAGTGGCCTCAATGACTCTCTAAAAGAATGCAAATGACCAGCTGTCTGCAAGGAGTATAAATCCTTCCATTTCCCACCATCCAATCAGAGCTGAAGAAGCTTCTTGGATGAGAAGCGATACGTCTCCAAAGAAAAACCAGAAAGTCTAGTTGCCTCTTGAAAAAGCACGTTTGGGACAACCATGATCTGGATGACTGAAAACCTCCATAGACATTGGAATAAAGCTTTATTATGCTATTAGAAATAAAGCAAAGTGTTGCCTTTGCTCAAAGATATCTAAGCCTTACATGCCCTCTTTTCTGATACCATAGATGGCAGGTTCTTCACTCTTTAATTCTATCTATGAAAATGAATAAATATTCACACCAACATCTTTTTGCAGTTGAATCCATTGTTCTAATCTGGTCAATGTCTGGAGGTTCTCAATCTCTTGCCAAATGCAAGATATGTTCCAAAATAAAGTACTAGTTTTATTCTTTAAAATGCTTCATATTACTCTTAGATAAAAAGCATATATAGTCTAGATTTTGGAACCATGGTCTTCATAGGAAGGGGATCGCATCTTCCATATTAGGAAGATACAGTTTCCATTCAGACTTTTTCTGATATTCTTCAATACCAGAAATAAATTCTATAGCCATAAGCCGAGCCACATTTATTTTAACTGACAGCATAATTAATTTTAATAAGCTGCTTAACTATAATATAATTCAAAGTGATGGTTAAATTTGCAAAAGTTTTGCAGATTTTAGTTACATATCCTTGCAATGAGTTAAGATATAAATTTTCAGCGGATCCAGCTTCCTTTTTAATCTCTTCTATTAATTATCTCCTGTTTTCATCCTGTTTCCCTTCAGTAGCTATGCAGTTTGTGAAATGTTCACTTAAAACAAATGTCCAGATATTTAGTTATTGTCAAGGTTGAATTGCTAAGATGCTTGCTGATCTCTGTCACCACTCAACTTGCCATAGAAACAGGGGGGAGGGAGACCCTAGGAAAGAAACAGGATTTTCAAGAAGCCATCCACAGACCGTGAGACCCAAGGTAACAAAAACAGGTGTCTGACAGAGAAGTTAATCATTCCCATAAAAACCGAAGAGATCTGATTGGGCAACGTGAACATTTGGTGAATGGGGGTTATGAAAAGCTATTGTTAACTAACCAGATTTTTGTGCAGGAAAATTAGAGTTGGTTTTGCTTCTTCAGTGCTGGATGTGTATTCAATAAAGTTTATCTCTTATGGCACCTCAAGACCGTAGAGTTCCTTCAATATTGATTTTGCTGGCTGGACGGTTGGTTGACAGTTGTAATGAGGTTTCAGTCTTTATACCTTATTAAGTGATACTCTTTCCTTACAATGTCAAAACTATTGAACTATTTCTTAATGTTCCATTTGAAACATATTATACTGTTGGCTTCTACTACCATATACAATTTCTTTAAAAATTGAAAAAAAAACACTTTTGCTATAAAGGGAAATGTCTACAACTTACCGGAACTGAAATTTGAGGATTATTTTTCAGTTTTCCCAATGTGGTAAAGCCATCAATATTGATCTTCCCCCTTGGTTTTATGGTTAATGTTTGTATCATAGCACAGTCAATATAAAGTGTAGCAGAATTCTTTTCTATACCGACCATAACTTTATGCCACAGGGAATCAAAAAGATAAGGTAAATCCAAAAATGAAACTGTCTGGAGACTTCCATCAATTCCTTTATATGAGAATTCAAGACATTTGGCTTGCCCATTAAGCTTCAGTCCAACTTGCTCTTTTCCAGAGGAATCTAGAACTTGCCATAGGCTCCAGGATTTCCGAATTGTATTCCCCGTCATCCGAAAAGTAGTCAGAATGGAGTATTGATCAGGTAGTCCTTGAGGATACAAGGATCTATTTAAAAATACAAATAAAACAGGCTGCTTATTAAGTTGGCTTAACATAGGGGTAGATTATCATTTCAGAGAAAGAGAAGGGAAAAAAATTAAGAAGCTGCTATCTAAAGGCAACACTAACAAACAGATTCATCTGAATCTGAACCAATAATTCCACTTTACTGTCAGAGAGAGATGCAGTAGTATTAGCTTACTCTATGGAAGAATTAAATCAAGACAAGGCCTGAAGCTCATGACCTTTTACCCATTACAATGGATGAGTCCAAAACTACCATCCAAGAGTGCTAATCGGATTGCTGAAATGAAGTTATCCTGCGTTCTGTATTATTTTCCCTTGTAAAGTTGTAGTTTGGATTAAATATTATACTATTAAAACAGATTTTTTTTCTAGCAGTACCAGATTCTTCAGATTTGCTATAGTCAAAGTCTGCATTCCAACACTATTCACTATCTGAACATCTGTCTTTCCTGTTTTTCTTTGATAGCCTTTGCATTGCTAAATTTCTCACTTGGGGAATTGGCTTCTTCCATGTTTGTGTGCCTATATACTTTCTTCCAGCTTCAAAAAGCATCTCAAGACATTTTTAATTAATTAAGAAAAGAGGACAACTTTTCTGTTACGTGTCAGGGGCTACCAATCATTGCCGGAGTATGTGATTAATTCATCTTGACTGGTTGTGAAGTATTGAGGTTAGTTTCAGTGATAGATTATTGGGCTGAAAGCAGTGAATAAATCTTATCCTCCACCCCTACATGCAGTATTGCCCCTCTGATCTCTCTCATTAGGTTTGTAGTTTTGTACAAAATCTGAGATGATTAACAAGTTTTATTATAAAGAAACCTTAATCCATTTCTCCTCCGGGTCTGATATATGTGTTATTTTTTTTCCCCTGTGGTGTCTTTATAAATGCTGTAAGTCATGAGTATATAAGTCCTCACAAACTGAGAAATCAGGTTTATTGTTTCCAAAACAGCATTTGTTTCTGAACACAACCTTGTTCTAGCAGACTTTTGTAAGAAAATATGTGGAAGAATTGAGCACATAGATACTGTAGGTAGACATTAGTTCTCAAAGAAAACCTGCTTGTGTTCCCAGCTCCTACAAATGTAAAACATCTTAGGTGCATACTTTTTAAATATTATTTAAAATATGCTATCCAACTTAGCACAGATGCAATTGATTTTATTTGCAAAATGCAGTACAAAGTGGTCCTAGCTAGAGTCTATAAGTTCTTCATTCTGGTCCCCTGATCCCAGTGGGCTCCTTGCATATAAACAGAATAGCTGGCTAGTCATTTTTTAACTACTTAATTTATTAGGCTTATACTTGGCCTGTTCTTCAGGATCTCAAGTAACTTACACAGGGATCTCCATTAATTTCATTTCACCTTGATACAACAAAGCCTATGAAGCACATTGGACTAGAAAAAGGTGAATTCCAAATCACATGTTGCACTTTTGTAGTGGATTTAAAGCTGGTTCAATACCTTAATCATTATACACCATGCTACAGAAGCAAAGTAATAAGAGTTCTTTCTTGTAATCACTACAAATATATTTCAGACTCTAGCTGTGCTTTCTATGAGTTTCAAACTAGCCAACTGTGGTTATTGACCTAAAAGTACCTTTTAGGTACTTCACTTCCTCAGAATGCAAAATAGTTGAGTCAGCATTACAGTTTGATTGAAAATTCTAGGGGTAATTGTAATGATGTCTGGATCATCTCTTCATCCCAAGCACAGAGATCAACAGGACCACTAGATAAAATTACACTTCAAACAAGCTTTAAAACCTTTAATTTCGGTGGTGATTGTGATCGACTTGCAAAAGGTATATGAGCTTATACACAAAAGTGCAAAAGGGCTTTCTTCTACATAGACACAAAATGTTTCAAATTCAAAATCTTTCACAAGCTGTTTGGTCTTGAAACAAGGGATCTGAATTCAAACCAGGGTGTTTCACTTTAAAACATGTGGAATTTTAAACGTTTTACACACTGCTACACACTGCTACTTCCTTTGATATTGCCTCCATATCGTCTGTATCTATTTATGTATTCTCTTGTATACCTGTTATACAAATATATATACATACATATACACCCAAATATATATTGTGGTTACTTTTCTTTCACTACACATACCTATGCACACATAAACACATCCTTGCTCATCTATGCTATATCTACTTTCTTTTCTCCTTCTTTACTTCCATAAATCAATTGAATAAACAAAGAAGTATTCACATCTCTATCCATCAGTCCATAAGAATCTCTTCATAAAACTCTTTCAGCATAGCATTGTGTTAGATGAGCATTTCAAATTTTGGACAATTGAAAGCCAGATTGATAGTGAGGCTTTTTCCTCTCTCTTATGCATTGGTAGTGTCAATCTAATATTAATCTGCATACCAGATTAACATTCAATTATTTTGCCTCACGTATCATGGCTGAAGTCCAAACCTTGGATTCATGTACTGAAATAATGGTTTTAGAAGCCCTTAGTTTGACTGGAAAACTGTATGGTACCTCTTTCAGGCTATATGAATTTATATTATGCCCAGTCCTTGCTGGAAAATATACCAGCCATAGGAAGATTATTTATTTATTGAGGGAAAAGGAAAATGGATGAAACAAAACAGATAAACTTCTGCTTTTTATTAGTTTCCAAGGTTTCCTTGGAGATATTCAAATTGGAAGCAGTGAGTAATAACCAAAAAATTATTTATTCTGAAATGAATCTTGCCAATGCCAACAAATACTGAATATACATGTTGGCATTTATTAGCCTACTCTTGATGCAGCATTTGTAACATATTTTATTTTATTTATTGGAATATTTCATAACAAATAAGCTAAGGCAGATGAAATAACATTAATTAACTGTAAGCTTCCACAAAGACAGAACAGACTATTTAATAAACACTACAAAAAACATCCTCATTCTAGTCCTGATATTTTTAGTATCCTCTAAATTCTCCCCAGTTATTCCTTGAAATTATCTCTATGTATGCTCACTATGTATATAATATTACAAAGGAAACAATGATAAAAAAAATAAGTGGTGTTACTTAGAAGACAAAAGCAAACTACTCAGAAGTAGAGAAACAAGTGGAACTTTATTTCAGTATTTTAATTAAAGTCATTTTAAAAACTGGACCCAGTAATTCTTCAGCACATTTCCATCACTAGACTATATAAGTCCTTGAGCAAAAATAAATCGCTGATTGCATATAATGCTGCCAAGACATCAGTGAGGCATACTCAAGTATAAAATGCTGCACCCATATACATTGTCAGCAGAGAAGAAAATTGCAACCAAGTTTAAAAGATTGGTAAGTAGAAGAGATTTGTTTTAAAACATTAAGCATTGCTTTTCTACCTTACAGAAAAATCTACTAATTGAGTATCTCATATAGAACTGCTCTTGTGGCATCACCCCTATTCTTGTTTTAATGTTTTATTCTGTATTCCCATTTTCATGGTGTTGTAAGCTCCCCATAGTTACTCAACAATGAGACAGGTGGCATATAAATTTAATTAATTGACTAAATAAATTTCAATAGATAGAATTCATCTATTCCTTTGCAACTAAGCTCTTTTTGGGGGGGGGGGAAGATTGCAAACAGTCCATTAGAACGTTTACTGTTTGATATACAACTTGTGTACTCCCATTTTTTATGTTAAATCAAAGGCTTTACAACCTTACAAGACTGCCACAGAATTTCATTATTAATATTTTAGCTTTTGGTAGAATACAGTGTTTCTAATAGAGCTTTTAATGAGAACGATTATGAAAAGAGCAAACAAGCATTCCACTAATAACAAAAGCCTGAAAAAATGAGAGAATTTGCAATAAAGAAAAAAGACTTTACATTTTTCAGTTAATATTTACAACTGTATCTCAGCCTTTTCCTTCTTAAAGATAGCAGTCTGTTCAAACAAAAGAAATCATTTTTAAAATGTTTGTTTGGGGGTAGGCAGTATACCTTGAATACTCCCCCACACCCCAATCATTGAAGGTTTTTAAGAAGAGACTGGACAGCCACTGGTCTGGAATGGTATAGGGTCTCCTGCTCAAGCAGGGGGCTGGACTAGAAGATCTCTAGGGTCTCTTCCAACTCTGTTATTCTGTTAAATCTGTTTTAATATAAGTAAGCCTTCAAATAATTGTGGGACTCTACATATCCAGTCCGATTTTAAAATGTAGCTTTTATTTGCACCTATTATTGTTTGTGAGTGGAATAAATGTGCAAAGCTGTTTGAAAAAATGCTACTATATAAAGGAAATTTTCTATCAGTAATTAATAAAGCTGAACTGGAAATAGCCTGGATTTAAGTTGCCTGTGAGAAGCTATAAAGATGCATTCTTATTTTTCCCTTCAATTTCTGGTGATAAATTCTGATATGAGGGATTTGGGCAAAATACTTGATAATTGAATTCACTCTTATCTACACAACAGTTTCCCCCTAAGCCTACCTCCAAATTAATTTTACATTAACATTTTTCTCACAAGGCAAAATTCAACACAGAGCAATTCTTATGTTATTATGCTGCAAAGAAACACATGGAAAACAATAAAATAAAATCTATTGTTGGAAACACACAGGAGGAAAAATAGGGAACTGGAAACTGAGGGAGGGGGGGAAACACCACAGATTCTGAAATAAAGCCTGTAAGAGATTAATTCACATTTGGGTGCAACTGACAGAGGATTGCTACGCTCCTACTTTTGTTAGTAGCATTTTTAATCTTAGGGATTAACCCCTAATTCGAACTACTTTTGCAATTCCTCGAGGACCTGGCGAGGGGAAATTTGTTAGGATTTTTTAAACAATAGCAACAGTCGTACTAAAGAATAATCATCTCTGTTTAGGGTTTACAACAACAAGAATGAAAACCACCACAACAGTAAAAAGGAGTCAGTTGTAAATCGCACAAATGCAAGGAGAGGGAAATGTCGATCTACCGAAGCCCGTTACAGCAACACAATAACTGAGCATCTTTCAGCACCAGTTTTGGTGAACAGCACCGCTGATCTTCCACAGCCGCTAGATGGCGGTAGGTCCAAGACATACATTTTAAGAAAATACAGAGCCCTTTCAACCATATCCAGACAAATTATAGAAAAACTCACACATTCCCCACATAATAGCTGGCCGCTGTTGTGTCCCAGACTAATATTAAAAATAATTACATGCTTCATGTAAAAATAAATGATAGCGCAGTGTGGTGAGGGATAAACAGCTTTATTAGCCGGATTCGGGAGCCAATATATTATTCACATTCAGGTTAGGCGATCTGAACAAAATATGTTATAAACTTATTTGATATCTCTTCTGCAATTCATTCATGGGTCGAACACCCCCCCCTTTTAATTTAACTCTTAGAATGATAGTCCTGATGCCCCACTAAGCCAGATTTCATGAGCTCTTGACAGCTAACACGGGATTGTGATTGCTGGGTAAATACTTCAAAGGCTTAAATGGTTTTACTCTGCAGAACAGAAAGGTGTTTTATCAGAATATAGCCTTTCTCATTTAATGCTGTCCAATATCCTTGCTTAATGTTCTTCATTTTAAATTCCAAAATAAATGAAAAGTTGGGCAATGGAAAGTTTGACGCAGTTATGCGTCATAAAAACTAAGGAAAATAGCACTGGGCTAAATTTGAGGAGAGTTTTCTCATTCCTGTTATATATTTCCAATGGATACTTGCAAAAAGGTTACGGAAATATGAAGTATATATATTTAGACCTGAATATAAATATCAATGAATACAAACGAAGACATATTCATTAAAAAAAAGTGATGATAGAACTATAGGGTAGTGTTTATAATAATAATAATAATAATAATAATAATAATAATAATAATAATAATAATAATAATAATAATAATAATAATAATAATAATAATAATAATAATAATAACACAACTTGAACACCATTGGCATTGACAAATTCACCATTAGTCAATTGCAAAAGGCGGCCTTACTAGGAACTGCTTCCATCCTGTGACGATATCTGTAATACCATCAAACATCCACATTTGCCTATCCCAGGTCCTGGGTAAGGACTCGATAGGTAGACAAAATGCCAAATCCAGTCTGAACATCTGGCTGACTGTGCGATGATCCATAATAATAATAATAATTAATAATAATAATAATAATAATAATAATAATAGTAATAAAGTTGGAAGGGTCCTTGGAGGTCATCTAGTCCAACCCGCTGCTAAGGCAGGATACTCTATACCATTTCAGATAAATGGCTGTCCAGACTCTTCTTAAAAAATTCCAGTGTGGACCAGTACTGGGCCATGGCATGCCAGCAACCAGGCTGCACAAACAAGAAAAGCCCCATCCATAGGATGCAGGCAACAAAAAAAACACGCTTCCTCCGGTCCACGGAAAAACCTCTCTCCACGGAACCGGTCCCTGGTGCCCAAAAGGTAGGAGACCTCTGTTCTAGTCCAATCCCCTGCTCAGGCAGGAAACCCTATACCATTTCAGACAAATGGTTGTCCAATCTCTTCTTTAAAACTTCCAGTGTTGCAGAATTCAGAACTTGTGGAGGCAGATTGTTCCACTGATTAATTGTTCTAACTATCAGAAAATTTCTCCTTAGTTCTAGGTTGCTTCTCTCCTTTGATTAGTTTCCATCCATTGCTTCTTGTCCTGCCTTCAGGCCCTTTGGAAAATAGCTTGACTCCCTCTTCTTTGTGGCAGCCCCTGAGATATTGGAACACTGCTATCATGTCACCCCTTGTTTGCCTAGGTCTTTTTCTCCCTATTCACTGAAGATGTGAAGGGTATATGAGAACCATCACACTAACTCTGCTCTCCCACTTTCACCATTCTCATAACCTTTAGTTAGTATATATCAGGAATGTAAAACTAGTGAGGAACGTTCTTTATACTTGTTCAGAGAAGTTCAGAGAAGAACAACCAAGATGATTAAAGGCCTGGAGACTAAAACATGAAAAACGCCTGCAGGACTTGGGTTTGGCTAGTCTGAAGAAAAGAAGAAACAGGGGAGACATGATAGCAATATTCCAGTATTTGAGGGGCTGCCACAAAGAAAAGGGCATCAAACTATTCTCCAAAGCACCAGAGGGCAGGACAAAGAAACAATGGTTGGAAACTGACCAAACAGAGAAGCAACCTGGAATGAAGGAGAAACTTCCTAACAGTTAGGACAATTAACAAGTGGAACAGCTTGCCTTCAGAAATCGTGGGTGCTTCATCACTGGAGATTTTTAAGAAGAGACTAGACAGTCACTTGTCTGAAATAGTATAGGTTCTCCTGCTTGAGCAGGGGGCTAGACTAGAAGACCTCCAAGATCCCTTCCAATTCTATTCTATTCTATTCTATTCTACCTCACTAACTCTACAATAACTGTACAGTACATTTGCTGGGATCTTCTACATCCTAGTACAATTTCTGGATGAATCTCCAGTTCAGCTCATTTTAGTCTTTGACTCCATTACTCATTTCTAACTTTAATCCTTTCCAGTTTTCCCTGCCGTGTCTCATTTCTCCCTGCTTTACTTACTGTTCTGCAATTACGTTAAAGAGCTTACACCTGATATCGGAGTAGGTGTTCCCTATCTCTTCCGTTCCCCTTATAATTATTTCTAGGCTTTCTATCTATTTCCACACCAAGCAGAGGCTCCTTAACTATAGACCTCTTACTGAATGTCTTTGTCTTCTTATATTAATATATTCTTTCCTATAAAGTTTGTCTCTGCCTCACCAGCAGTCTTAAGTTTGGATCTGCATTTTCTTCCTTGTTCTTCCTTATGTGTGGAATGTCTCCCAAAGGCTCCATTCTCTCTCCTTCTCCCTCTCCCTCTCCCTCTCTCTCTCTCCCACTCACCCACCTCTTCAGTGAAACCTTTAGTTTATCAATTGTGGGCTCCCCACTCAATTAGTACTCCTAAATTTTCCAGCACTATAATTGTACAGAAGGATATCAAATGCAGCTATTATTCCTCAACGTGGGAAGGGTAATTCGTTTTTACTTATTTTTTATTTATTTATATTCCGCCTTTATTGTTTTTACAAATAACTCAAGGTGGCGAACATATCCAACACAGTTTCGTTTGGCCCACAGCAACAACCCTGTGAGGTAAGTTGGTCTGAGAGAGAGAGTGACTGGCCCAAGATCGCCCAGCTGGCTTTCATGGCTAAGGCAGGACTAGAACTCATGGTCTCTGGCTTTCTAGCCCACACAATTTGCTTCTTTTAAAAATGGCTGCTCAGTCAAATAAACAGACAGTCTTAATAGAAAAATAATAAGGAAAAGCAAAAAAAAAAAATTACCTAGTAGAAATCCTGAAGTCTGCTTTGGTACCTAATTTGTAAGCAACTTGTAAAGATGTGGAGCCCTCCAGACGTTGGATAATGCCTCTGGAAGCAGCGTCATCAAGCTGGAATTGTGAAATTAAGTCATAACCTAAAGTAAGGAATATAAATATTTGAGAAAAATATTTGATTTTTAACTACGAAATGATGTAGTTAAATCTTTTTTCCCTGCTATTTTTTTTCTTCTGATATGTATTTTCTGATTAATTCAACTTTGCTGCTATTCAAAATTCAATTTCAGATAGTTAAGTTTCTTAGTAGTTCACATTAGAAATATAAAGGTGTGTCACCTTGAAAATAATATATGATGGCATAATTAAATAATATATAAAGCAGCTTCTTTCAGACACATTCACTTCACAGAACAAAAATAAGTGGTCCTTAAAAAAATGTTCCATATCAGTTTATATGACGGAAGTTATAATGTAATAACTTGTGTTTACTTGCCTGGTAGATCATCCTGGCCAATCTTGGTTCTTGGGCAGAGGTCCATCCTCATGTTGGAACTGAATGTTATTGGAAACCCTGCAGTGAGATTAGACATGCTGCAGTTATCTCTGTCCATTTTGCTGTTGAATGGTCTATGACAGGGGTAGGCAACCTTGGCTTTTTATGACTTGTGGACTTCAACTCTCAGAATTCCTAAGCCAGCATGGCAGGTTCAGAAATTCTGGGTATTGAAGTCCACGAGTCATAAAAGAGCCAAGGTTGCCTACCCCTGGTCTATGACCTGGAGCAATCTCCTTAGAGGGAACTCCAGAAAAAGAAACAGTTTATTTATTTAGGAACATGTATAAAAACTTAAAGTACAAACAAGGTCACACTTTGTACAGCTAAAATCAAAAGAAGCCACATTCATGAAGTCAAATGATGCTACAGATGAGATAAACATATATTGGAGAAAGCGGTGGAGAATCTCAGTTCTTTCCTGGCTATTTCTGAAGATCCTCTATCTTTCCTAAGATACAGATCTGTACTGCAGAGTTATTTGTGGCTTGGATAACTTTAAAAAGTTTCTACCTAGATAGTTAGTGAAGTTCATACCTCCACTAAAATCAAAATAAGCAAATGCCAACTCTGCTTTTGAAAAACCTATCAAAGTTTTGGCGGTCTTCCCTTTTCCTTTCACATTTCAGATATTTTGTTCTAACTCTTTCTTTCCCCGTGTTTGATTATACAACATGCTCAGTAACAGGAGGCCAAGTGTGGGAAACCTAACTGAAGGTTTCTTGGAAGAACAAACAGTCATTTCACTCTCTCTAAAGCACCACTGTGTGTATGTGGAAAGGGGAAAAAAATCAGCCTATTTAGTGTACCAACCTCACCCGTCCTAATAAAAAAAACGAAAAGGAAAACTAAACATTGGTTCCAGTTAAGCTGTAGAATTCAACCTATGCACTGTTTTAAGTCAAGTTGGAAGATGCCTCTGGAGGCTGGAAGAAAGAGTTACAGTTTGAAAGGAGATTTTTTTTTCCTGACCGCAAAAAGCATGTTGTCTATTCCAAGAAATTTTCTTATAGTTGGTTGATCCCATTATATTTCTAGGATGACCTTCTCAGATTTAGTGCTCTCCAATACAACCATCTGTATCTCAGCCAGCATTATGAGTTAGATGGAAATTCGGGGAAATGTAGTACCAACACCTCTGGCAGTAATAAATTTAGGAAGGCTGTCCTAGAAAGGCAAATGATCATTCTTTGCAATTTTTTGCAAGTCTGACCACTTTTGCTTGGATGGTGCTTGGATTTGTGTATGAATGGGTGGGTGCATATCTGTGTGTATATATAACAACTTCTACAAAGTATTGATGTTCATATTTTTAGTCCTTATATTAATCTTTCCAACTCAATTCCATTCATATCCTCTCCAAATTGTTCCAATATAATCTTTAATCATATCTATTCTTAGATCTTTCATTTCAAAAATGTAATATATTTCTGTTCTTTTTTTAATGTAGTAATAAAACAGAAAAATGTGTCACCATGGAGAGATTGACAGGAAAGTTAGCCAGCAGATTCTATGTTTCCCCAAATTCTACTTTGGGGGGTTTTTTTCCTCATCCATTGTACGAGAAGAATAACTTTGCCCTGTAGCAAATAAATCTACAGTTGTCTCTTACATATACCCGAATACAGTAGAACCATTTTGATTACCAAACATTTAGTTAGTGTAATGAAGAAGTTTCTCACTTATTTGCCCTTGAACAGTAACCGATGTCAAAATCTCCAGAAAGCAACTCACGGACAAGAGAAATTGATACTGCCTGCAAGAAGAAGAAAAAAAAATCTTAAAGATAAAGGTAGACTGCCTAATAATCTCATACATTTTCATTTCAGAGTCATGAATATACAGTATTCTGTGTAACTTAAATACATAATTCCATGATATTTATTTATGTATGAAAATTTATTTCACCACCCAACTCACTCTTGGTGACCCCCCCCAATGGCTTACAAAGATAAAAACCTAATATAAAAATAATTTAAAAAGCAATACCTCCCCCCCCACACACACACACACCAACCTCCATAAACCTTCCTTAATACAATAAGCAAGCAATTCTTCTTAAAATGTTTCAGATCTACCACATTTCATGTCCCCATACAACAAAACGTTTGCAGCGGAGTCATTCTCTCAAGCATCCTTTCTTACACACACATTATTGCCATAGGGAAATAAAAGCAATAATACAGAGTGCAGCTTTCATAGACTGCTTTGAATACAGCCCATTGAAGTGTCTCCATTTTTAGAGAGTGATTCTTTTAGAAATACATTTGATTGCTTACCAGCTATTCTTCATGTTTCTACCTTCTTGAGAACAGGACTAGACTAGAGAATTATTTTGGATTTTGTTCCCATTAAAGAAAGGTTCAAGGTGCCCCAGAGTCTCTTTGCCCTCTGCAGGGCATCTGTGGAGGAATGGATGTCACACCTCTGAGACTGTTTTAATAATCCTGAGGAAATGTAGAGGTGGGCACTAGGCAAGCTTACGTGTCCTATATTAGAAGGGAGGGTGAGAAGATTTTGGCTGGGTCATACAAAGAGGAAAGAAGCAGTGGAGGGGTGGGGTGGATTTCAGAAGAAAATTTGGGCTAGCAATACTACCTAGCAAGTGACGGAAGAAAACTAAAGGGAGGAACTAAAAGGAGAACATGAAGGGTCTAATGCCTGGAACTCACCCAATAAAGCTTATGTATATTTTGGCACATCTACGATTCAGGGTAAATTTAAACCCTTGAGAAAAAAGGAACTTTTCATTTTCACTGACTCTCAGATGAGGCAGCCACTCCTGCAGTACAGGAATTTTGCAGAACAGAACCAGGCAATTTATACAGGATTCATAGCTGAGGTCAGAATCTCACCAGATAACAACACAGATAACCTAATTCAGTTTTCTATCTATGGCTGGTTAATAAATCTGCTACCCCTGTCTTTAGGTTACCTACGTTTTAAGAATACATAATCGTGCCTGCAGACATTTTTCTGTAGCTGGAAAAAGCAATAATTCTTTATCCGGAGAATTAGATACTGCTCAGGTGGATAGAAATAATCTTTAAAAAGCAGTTAGGTCAATATTACTTTGTATGATGTTCATGAGCACTAGATAAAATAGGTTGGAAGTGAAACTGGTACACTGAGCAGTGGCTAGTCACATATGTTGAAGGACCCAGTAAAGGGAAGTACTCAAAGATTTGTTTATCCAACCATTCGTTTAGTGACTGTTCAAAGTTACAATGGCACTGAAAAAAGTAATTTATGACCATTTTTCTCACTTATGACCACTGCAGCATCCCCATGGTCATGTGACCAAAATTAGATGCTTGACAACTAGTTCATATTTATGGTGTCTATGAAGTCACCAAGGGTCTAGCTCAGGGGTAGGCAACCTTGGCTCTTTTATGACTCGTGGACTTCAGAATTCTGGGAGTTGAAGTCCACGAGTCATAAAAGAGCCAAGGTTGCCTACCCCTGGTCTAGTTTGATCCAAAAGTCATTTTGAAATCTTTTCATGATGTCCTTCAGATGTACCTGTCTTTGAGACAACAATCCTGGGATCCTTTTCCCTGGATTTATGATAGGACCAGCCTTGAAATGAAAGCGTGAATGGGCAAAGTTTATTTAATTGATTACCCTTGTATTTCTATTCTGAAGGAGAAGTGATGACTGTATTGTCAGTTTCAGATTTTAAAAGGGGTGTGTGCATATTTGAAAAAGTGGGGGGGGACACCGTTTCCTCCAGTGATTCAGGAATGTCCCAACATTTTTGAGACAGCCCCAAGAAGGGTGGGAGAGTGGAAGCAGAGGTAAGAAATAAAGTTATGTCTTGCTGAAAATTTGCTCTTGAATATAGCAAGGAACTTTCAATAGAAACATCAAGGTATTATAAGCCATTATAAACCACCCTGCAATCCCCAAGATACATGAAGAGGTAGATTCCTGTTAATATTTATCCACAATGCAGTCATGTGATTGGAGCAAGCATACCCTGGTTCTTGTGCTCTGCTAAAAAGATAAAACATCAGACATCACATTTAGAAAAGGGATCTTTGGAGTAAAGGCAGTATAAACCTACCTGGCATAATGTCCCCTTTTTCTTCAGTAATGGTATGTGAGTGCCTAAGAAAAAGAAACTAGAGTTTTCTGAAGAGGCTAGAATTACACGCTGGTATTTTGAAAAGCCCAGTTTCCATCTTAATGGTTTGGCTTGAGCCACAGTATTACTCTTGGCTGTACTTTCTCTGCAATAAGAAAGAGATCTCAATCGGCTTTTTACAGATGGATTTCTAAGAATCCTAAGGCTGGAAGGCACCTAATGGTTTTTGGATCCAGCCCCTTGGTCCATGTAGAAATCTAAATTAAAGCACCTCTGACAGATAGCTGGCTAGTCTCTGCTTGAACGCAGCCTGCAAATGGGAGTCTACCGCCTCTTTGGGTAATGGGTTCCACTGCTGAATGACTCTTAAATATTTTATGCCATTATGTTGGCATCTCTACCTTCTTGTAATTTAAGCCCATTATTCTGTTTACTGTGCTCTAGAACAAGGAGAACACATCTTGTCTTTCTTCCACAGGGTATCCTTTTAGTACTTTCAGGAGTGCTATAGTATACTTCCCTGATCTCAGCTGCTCCAAGCTCTTTGCATAGCAATCGCAATAGCACTTAGACTTAGATACAACTTCATAGTCCTTTAAAGCAACTTCTAAGTGGTTTCCAGAGTCAGAATATTGCCCCCCCCCAACAACCTAGGTCCTCATTTTACCCACTTCAGAAGGACAGAAGGCTGAGTCAACCTTAGGATTCTGATAAAGTGGATAGGGTGCTCTTATGAGCTTGTGCCATCAGTAGTCTCAATCTGACTCCATCCTTGCGCCTCTGGGTATCTGGGGGAAGTTTTAAGAGCTGAGTCCAAGAGATTATTAATGCCATTCAGACAGAAGACACTGTTTCAGCTGCCTTTAAAGAGGCACTGGATTATCCCTGTGTGAACCCAGCTATATTGGATAAAAATTGTACAGTCTCCAACCTCCCACCTCCACCTCCCCTGAGAAAGTGGAATCCGTCCA